GGCCGCCGGTGCCCGTCGGCCCCCGCCGCCCGCTCCCAGGGCAGACCAAGCCTCTCCCGCTGTCGCTCACACACTAACCACTCAGGGGAGCCGTGACGCCACGTAATCCCAAATACCGTGGGATTCCCCGGCAAAGTTGTTGGTCGTTGCTCTTGTCGCCTTGCCCTCCGCTCGCTCCGTGGTGTTGTAACTCCAACCCTTACACGGGAATTACATATCGGTAAACGAGCCAAGAACGCAGTCGGGGGCGAATCCAGCGTCACGTGCATATTTAGGAACGGGGACCAATTATGCTTCATCAACTTTAGCTTGGTCTCGCCTGCTCTTAAAAATAGCCCCATTTCACCAATAGGTTTGTCTGACTGTAACTAAACACCCAGCTGATTCAGTTACTATGTGGTTTACAACTGCTCATGCACATGGGAGCCCAGACTCACCACTGATTTCTGTTATCTTTTTTGGATAATTAACACCAGGAATGTGATCTGAACTTATTTTGGTGCAAAAAATCAAGGTGCGGGAAGATTACGGGGAAACTATGCTGAAAAGTATAATTGGGTTTTCTTTTAGGGTCCCCAATGTAACAGAAAATATATGCATTTTTTCCGAACACTCAAAGGAATAAAAGGGATATTTTACTCTCAGGAACTGAATTTTCTTTATGTCTACATAGCAAATTTATTGTGATCCTACTTTTAAAGTGTGCAAATGAAAAATGATGTATATATACATCACACAGTAGCTTTCCCTACTTGCTTGTTTTTTTTAAATTTTAAACAGAAATGTCCGTTGTTTCCCACTAGCTTCCTATGTGATAACTGATCAAACAGAGCTACGGAAAATCAAGTGCATGGAGAAGACAGGGATCAGCATAACGAGAGAGCTCATGTGGTGGTGGGGAGTGAGGCTGGCGACCGTACAGCAGCTCCTGGACCTCCTGCAGGAGCTGCAGCTCTACCGGGCAGCCCAAGTCATCCTGGACTGTGAGTAGATGTGCCCCCCTCCTGTGGGAATGCAGAATCACTGATTCTGGTTTTCTACTTTCATAAATCGAATTTGTGAATGGAAAGCAGAAAATGACACAGCCCTCTAGTTCCGCATCCCACCTTTAGTAGTGGCCATCTTAGATGCTTCAGAGAGGTACCAGAGCTTAAAAGTAAGATTGGGTGTGGTCTGAAGCAGGAGCATTTCTCTAATGAATCAGACAGGGTTTTAAAACAGACAGACTTTAATTATGAATGTTTTCATTTTTCATATATTCTTGTTTCTCAGTGAAATTTTGTCATTATGCTCTAATGATCAGCAAACTCAGGGCAGGAGAACACATGATCAGTTTTGACTATGCAGCCTGCTTTCCTGACGCATGAGAAAAAGCTTATGAAGAAAGAGAAATGGTTTATCTGACTACCTAATTTACTATTTCTTTATCCCACTTCATATTTTCTCTACTCCTCTCAAATGTGCTCCTTGTTCCTTGCATACATTAAACAACTTCAGTCTTTTCTAACTCTTTGTATGTACTTCTTGACACGTGTCTCCAAATTGCCATATTTCAGATGTATCGTTTTTGAGATAGGATGACTAGAGTTTGAACACAGGTGCGCCTTGTTAAGGTAAACCACTGCATTATAAATATCACAAGGCTTTTTTAGTACAATTTTACTTTCCATTTGTATGTGTTGAAAAATATGTTGTGTCTGCAGCTGTCCACTTTTATAAACCAAACTGTACATTGATCCAGTTCTACCGCTAAATCTGTTGGACTCTAAGTAACGTGCTTAGCCTTTTTGTATTGAGTTGCCCTGACAAGTTAGGAATGGCCTTACATTTCCCTTTTCACATCTATTTCCACCCAAAACCCACTTATTTGGAAAACAGATGTTTGCATGAATTTTGCCTGTTCTCAATAGAGAACTACTAGAAAGGAAAATTACAGATTTTTGTTATGTGGCCAAAAATGCTTAGAGAAATGCAGAGATTTTTCCAGGCACACATGGGAAAAGGACAAAGACGATGAGGGTATACACTTTCACAAGATGGAAAATGTGCAGGAGCACCTCCTGCTTTTCACGTTCCATGAGAGGGGATTGTGAGCTACTTGGCTGGTTTTGGTTACATCATGAGCCCTGTTGTGAAACAGCCATCAGCCCCCGCAGGGCAGGGCAACCATCAGCAGAGTCAGCACTGCAGCTGGCACTCACTGCATAGCAGCTAGAGGTATTTCCCATGGAAATTCCAATAACTCATCATTTTCTTGCCACAGCAGTTCTTTAAAGAGCACTGTTTATTTTTCTGTAGGTTTCTGGTGTTAGCATCACTTTTAACCTTCATTTTGGAAAGGCAAAAAAAAATCTTTAACTTTCAGTCATATCAGTTTAGGAGATGGTAACAGTTGTTTTCCTTAGCTCTTCTGCTGAGCGAACAGAGCTACGGGAAAGTTAACTTAATTCTGTTTTACTTTGTATGTCGGTAACCCAATTGTTAGTTTAGTCACAATGACTGTGACTTGGAGGGTCCAGTTTTTTAAAAAAAACAAAATTTTAAAATCTGTTTAATCTGTTATTTGTAATTGTTTAATCTAAAAAAAGTTTTTAATTTTTAATCACTGAATAAATTTGACCTAGATTTCACCAATGCAATAAGCCTGGCTCCCTCATAATGGTATTTTATGGATACTTCAGAGTAGATGGTGACTTTCATGAAGTGATGACTCCTTTGCTCTGTGTCTGCTTATTATTTAACACAGTACCCGTAAAGAGAGTTTCTAGGTGCTGTGATAGTACACAGAATAACCTACCACACCTTAAGCTCGAATTAGTTACAGCGGTTGCCTTCTTTCCTTGTCAGAAAGCATTCTGGGGCCCACCTTTGTTTACTGCTGGCTTATTTCAGTGTATTCCTTACACTGCATTCATTGACATTTCAGTAATCCCACTTTACACGTTGCCATTTAATCAGAAAAAACAGCTGCGTTTTCCTTCTGAGAAACATAAAAACTGGAAGTGAAAAATTATTGAATGCTTTTTTACAACTACATAAAAGCCGCAACAATTATCAACAACATTTTATCTTTCTCAGAAAAGTCTGGTTTTGTTCATCAAGGTATGATGGCTTCTTTACTTTTCTGTGTGGGTTAATTTTGCATTTTTGCAAGAGCTATGTTCAACGAGGTTGAAAATATGGCTTGTAGTAACATATGAAATGCTGCTGCTTTTACCCCAAGTAGAGAGTTTTCTCTCCTCTTATAGGCCTTTAAAACAAGACCACAAGTAGATTTCAAACTGAGATTAGTTCAGCACACTGCAGTGGTGACTCACACTGCAGCTTCAAGAGAAGCTTTACTTATTTAATTTGAGATAGCTGTCGCTTGCAAACTACAACACTGGTGGATTCAAGCTGATGTACAGCACATTCAGGACAGCTACCCCCAGGAAATCCAGAGGCTGCACAGTGGATCTCTGTGATCATTAGGCTTGCTCCTGTGTGCAAAAGCCAGAATGTGACATGGGATTAAATCTTGACAGGCAGGATTTTAAAGCCCATTTTAAAGCCCTGACAACATTGCTTACACAAGGACCGAGTAAGACTTACCTCTTGAATCATGCACAATGTACAGAATCCAGCCTCCAAGCCAAGAGCAGCTTCCAGCAGCTTCACCTATAAAGATACAACACAGACACAAAAATATTCATCATCACAGCGCCTAAAAAGTCATCATCCTCCTGTTTGTCTGACTGGTTTGAGTGGTATGCAAACATTATGGTAGCTTGCACAATATGCACCTGACTTCAGCCTCTGGTACAAGAGGGGATTACCTGCTTTTTCTCAAGCTTCTGTCATTCACCCATTATTTTAGTATTTCAAGCTTTCTCAGAAACAGTTCTGAGACTTTTTGGACTTCACTTGCCACCGGCAACAATAACTGAGGGGTTTCCCCTCTTAAAAATAAAAGCTAATCAGCTTCCTCCAGACTGAAGGAGTACACTTTGTGACCTCTACAGAAAAGCTTGGTTTCTAAAAAATAAGGTTGGCTAATACAAGTAAATGGGTCTTTATAATGACTTCTGTGGGACAGATCAGGCTGCAGGAAAGTAATTAGTAAGAAATTATTTCAATTCAGACATTGAACTGATGTCCTAGAGATGTCAGATCCCTTTGTTTCTGCTCCATGCAGAGCGTTATGAGGAGTTATAAATGGCTTCGGTTTTGACTCTGAATTCTGTAGGGCGCTATGAAGACAAGATAAAGAGGATTTCAAAGAGCATAGAAGAGACAAATTCTGTAGACCGATCAATTTTTAGTCATGTTTCTGGCTGATCAATAATCATTTTTGCCCCAAATCAGTTCAAATGCAATGAATTATAAAAATGAAACGAATTTTTCTCCTTAATTTCTTACTGTCTTCTTTTATATTGAACTCCATAGCAAAGTTTAATATTAATTTCAGTGATAGAAAGCGTGGATTATTTTGTCATCCATGTGCAGTAGTTAACATTTTCTGGAATTAACTGAGTACAGGCATTCCACTGTGTGCTTGGTTATAAACAGCAGTGCTTTCTAGCAAGCTAGTTTTAGGTTTAAACAAGTCTTTCCAGTCTTTACCCTTTATTTTTTGCTTTTATATCGTATATGCTTACTCAGCTGATGTTTCTCAAGCAGATACGATGGAGTACACACTGCTTGCTCTATTGGCCATACCCTTTATAAAACTAAGTGGTCCCAACTCTGACAGTCTTTACATCACCATAACTCTACTCAGTCTGACTTCTGGATGTCTGGAATAATATTTTTTTCTGAAATCATTTATGCATATATCAGTTCTGTTGTTTCAGTGGTGACCTCTTTGTCTGATGTGCAGGAAGTTGCAAAATTCATGAAAAACCCTGAAAAGATGGGTTGAAAGAAGGAAATGATTCTAATTTTAGAGGCTTCTAGGTTAAAGTACTAGGGTGAAAAAAACCACCTACAGCAGAACTATCCGTTTTGACTAAAGGCCTGTAGGCAGTTGATACCTAAAACAATTTCGGGCCAAAAATCCATAAATTTTGTGATTTCATAGCATGCTGGCACAGTACCAAAGAAACATAACGGATTTCTCTGAGTTTTAGTTTAAAGACCTAGTTTAATTCAAACCTGCATTCATAGGTAGCATTGAAGAAAGTGGATGCAAATCCCAGACAAAATTCAAAGAGAAAAGCTTACCTGACACGACCCTGCCCACCTCTACTATTACTGTTCTTCAGATACCTCTACTCTTCAAAGCTTAATACAATGAAACGGTCATACCTTATCTTCTCTTAAATTTCATTTCTACTGAAGTTAATGAGATCATTTGTTTTCTTATAAGGAGCACGATTATAACTGAAATATACCACTTCCTGCTTGTTTCAGTTACTCTCAATGTTTTGTTTATACAAAAAAGAACACAAAGCTATTAGCTGATTTCAAAAGCAAACAGAGGCTTTTGGTGTCACTATGCTTAAGGTAAAAAGCTGACAAAACAGTGCAACAAAAAAAATCAGATGAATATGCTTATTTTCTTTTCTATCAAAATAAAACAATTATTTTTATTTTTAAGTAAATACTAAAAGTATTGGTTATAAAATATGTCAGGTAAAAAACAGAAGTTTGGAACTAAAATGAGGAATATACACGGTTAAGGACACTGGAAGGTCCTCAGATGTCTGTACTGCATGCTAGATATTTCAAAGTTCCCTTTCAACCTCAGTTTTAAATGCCTTGAATGGAATTTCAGCATCTCTTCAGAAGACTTTTGACAGCTTCATCTATTAGAATACCTTGACTTGTTTTTCTTTATTTTACTTATTCCCCATCCTAACTGTAGCCTAATTTAATGTTAATAATTTCCTCTGAGATGTACCTATTCTTCAGTTCCCTGTATGCTGAAAGTATCTCTGTTTTTCTCTTAAGCATACTTCATGCTTGTCTTTTTCAGGTCTGATTCTGAGATTTGGCCAAATTGTACACAAAGCAGGATTTTGAGGCACTGTAGTGAATCAACAATTTGGCCTTTAATTTTTCCTTATATATCAGTTATTCTTTACCTGTGGCAATTTTTGTGTTCTTCCTTGATTGTCTCCAATTTGTTTCTGTTAATAAGTGAAAATACGATTCTTTATTGAAACTAGTTCTATATAGAAAAGTGTTTTCTGGGAATTAGCATGGTCATGACACTAAAACCACACAATTCAAAATAGCCCGAAAGTTTTCAGCTAACTAAAACCAATGGAATTCTGTCAAACTTTCTCTCAGTTCCATGACAATTAACAAATAATTAGATGCCTTCTCTAGGCTCTGAGATATTTCTGGTTTGAGATCATCAGTTGAAAGACATTACATGGAAAATGACAAAATAAATAATTATTGTTAATTTCTTATTAATTATCTTTTGCATAATCATGACAGATATTTGTTTCAAGCTATCACTTGAGCTATCATTTTTTCATAGTAGTTAATACCATGCATAGGGAGTGAATTTAAATATTAATAATATTCAGGTAAATTAACAATAAACATAACACATTTGTAGTGTTCATTTAAATTTACAGCTCATTTTCCCTGCACAGCTAATTAGAATCAGACTCTGTTTTCCCTGGCAATCTTCATCTTTCTATTGTTCTCTTTTGCAGGGAAATCAGCCTCTGATATTACCAGCTCTGAAAATAAAGAGCAGGTACAGTGGCCTAAAGAGGAGAATATATCTTTAACTCCCACAGAAAAGAAAACTAAAGAGAGAGAAAACGAGATAAGTCTGTTGCCATCACCAGACTCTTCGCATTTGGGAATATCACCAGCAGGTAGTAAGTAAAATAATAATTCTGTATTTGCTTTAAAGTTGGAATGGCCATATAGACAAGACTGGTTCCCAGTTACTTTCAGTATAGTAGAAATGGTTACATTACAGTTCAAAATGGTCACATTTGAATGGTTGCCTTTTTCTTAGCACTATTGTCTCCTGAGCTGTTTATTCCTAACTTTAGCACAGGGCCTCGTATTCTTCCTGCCTATGGCTCTCTTGGCTTTGAGAAATGCTGGCTATAACTATCCTGTGGGGATATCCTTGGAGTATATTTCCCAATTCCATGCGAACCCCCTGGTTCCATCCTGGCTCCAAGCTGAGAGCAGATTTATGCATACAGTGTCCTGCCCCATGTCCTTGTTTCCATGCATAATACATCTGGGCCAGAAGAGAGCCACGTAGTCATCTATGGGCCCCTCCGTCTGGGAAAGGGACGGACCAGACCCATGGGACACATGGAGGAGCACCTGACCGACAGTATCCCAGTAAGCTCTGGGAGCTCCATAAAGCTCAGCCAGGACTAAAGAGATCTGCCCAGAAAAATAGCTCTATATCTTCATATAGTACCTCACATTTCGGCAGCTTGTTGCAGATTATACCATATAGGAAAGTTGACAAAATAACCCAGACCCTCGTAATTAGTCACCCAGGCTGTGATGTTACAGTAAGTAAGGTGTATTTTCAATGCTGTTAATTCAGTTTCAGGCCCTGTTTCTGAAGGAATCGTGTATTCACTCCCTTCACCACCAGCTCCCCCAGGAGACCTTTTGAAATCCTTACAGTCAAATCCTCCTGTCTCATCAAGTGTGAAGGTAAATCCCTTTCGTACTGGCTGGATTACAAGAATGTAAATTGTCTTCATGCCATTCTGTGTTTCTGCAGTTAAAGATTATATGTAGACTTCCATCTACTCGTATAAAATATAGATCTACTGAAAAAGTGCAGCCTGATTACAATGTATTTAGGTTCAACATAATACTAACGCTTTAACTAGATTACTTATGATTTACATCACTTTCTTGCCAGTGAAGGGCAAGTGAGGGACAAAATTAACTGTGCTGCATACTGCAAAGCTGAGCATGGAAAATACACGCACAAATGGCAATTAACTTTCAAGTATAGATTTTGTAGGGGACTTAACATTTCTGGTGTGATGACAACACAAAACGAAAGCACTGACTGGTCAGAATGGCAAACTTATTTTACTTTCAATGTATGCTTAAAGTGTGGTGGGTTAGTGGTTTTATAGTATCATCATTTATGTTGGAAGGGTGGAAGGGACGTCTGGAGGCCTCCAGTCCTACCTTCTGCTCAAACCTGGGCTAATGTCACAGTTAGGTCAGGTTGCTCAGAGCCTTTTCCAGATGAGTTTTGAAAATCTCCAGAGATGGAGATTCCACCCCCTCTCTCTCTGGGCCCCTTTTCCAGTGCTTCACCATCTCATGGTGAAAAGAATTTCTTATGTTCCTGATGATTTCACTACACAGCCTTCTCTCCTTCCTCCCTATAGCTCTCTTGTCTTTAAGATAGTCTGGCTAGATCTGGCCTGTAGGGTCTCAGAGGGTATGCACATTCTGGTCCCATTTGACTCTGTGTTGGCATGTTTTGTTTTGTGTTGATTTTTTTTTTTTTTTGAAGATTGTATTTTAAGACTCTAAACTCTTCCAAAATAACATGGTACAAGAGTACCAGCTAGAAGAGAAGATTATTACAAAGAATGCAGTAGTTCCAGAGTTTCTGGAGAGGGAGTTAATGTTTTGTTGTCTCATATCTCGAGCACATCAAAGTTGTGGAAGCTGCATGATTATTTTTAGGCTATGGGGAACTGTAATATCAAATGGCATCAGGACTTGCCATGCTGGAAGCAAAAAATTATTTTGCAAGCAATGCCAGACATTTCAGAAGTAGATGTATTACAGCATGAGGGACACGCCCTTCTGATCCAGTTGTTGCTTAACATATGCTCCAGCCATAAGAATTAACGGTTCGTGTGACTTACGCTAACATCACTTCAAGTAAATATATGGACTTCTAAGCAAAACTTTGTCTGTTTTCTGGGAAAGGTAGTAATGCAAATTGGTGGCTGTTTTCCAGTTTCTTCTACTATGAAGAATTTTTACATCAAACAGATCAAGACAGGTATTACAAAGGGAAAACGCAATGAGTGATTGCACAGTATCTGTCACAATTTCTTTCAAGAATCACTGCACTCACTTCTTAAATCATGGAAAAGACAATGGGGTGTTTGAAAGGGAAGGAAAAGGCATATGAATTTTCATGAGATAAACTTATTTCCTCTTCAAATGTGTAGCCCTGCAGCTCTTCTACTCCTCAGCAGGAGACAATGACTGATTTCCCCAGCGGGAGTCTTTTGTGGACCCAGAGGGAAGTTACTAATGCCACAAATGGTTTTAGTGATGAGAGCAGAATTTGTGAAGGTACTTTTGCAGAAGTCTACAAAGGTCAGAGGCACAACATAGTGTATGTCATCAAAAGACTGAAAGAGGCAAGTACTCCAGCTTTTCTTTTTTTCTTTTTGAAGGGGAATGTTTTATTAGCACCTCTTGAACATTAGCAGGTGTCATTTAATGTTATGTGGGCTAGGAACCAGAGCTGCTACACAAGACAAAAGGGAAAAAGAGAAATGATGAGTAATAAATAAACCTAGATTCAGCAAACATGTATGAGAGAGATTTTACTCACATGGGTAGTTCTATTAACTTTATCCATGGGAGCAGCCCAAGCAAACTAGCTGCACTGAGAACTGGTTCAGAAGTGTCTTTATGCTGTTTTTAATTTTCAGTTAATTGGTGCTGGTGACACACAATTTTTATCAATGATACTTTCCTATTTTCTAAAGTGGTTTGTCATCTAGAGAGTAAAAGTTATGTATAAAAGCAGTGTCTTAATAATTACTATTGATATTATATTGCATGTTTTCATTTTTCAGACGGAAGGTACAAGCTCAAATTCAACTCAAAGATTCTTTCATACAGAAGTACAGATTTGCTTTCGGTGAGCAGTTGACTTTTAAATTGTAGTCTGTTCACATCCTATGTGTGGCATGTTGCTGGTGTGTTTAGTATAAGACTCTGCCAGGCACCATCTTGTCCCGGGGACAATGGGGTTTTGCACTGCCTCTGCAGGAGCCCTGGGAAGCAGCATGCCTCCCAGTGCTGCCACAGCTCTTCCTCAGCAAATACAGCTGCTCTGCCTGTCCTCGAGAGGGGGAGGGAGTGGTGCCTTCCGAAGCCTTGTATCCCTTCTAGTTGCTCTTCTCTGCGGCTAGGTTAGCCTTGTGCAATCCTGCTTGGGGCCATTCTGTGCTTCCAGTTGTAGGACACAACATGATTTCCAATTGTCTTGAATTTATGAATTTATTCCAGCTCAGGAAAGTATTTTTCTGCACTGTTCTCATTTCATTTGCAAATCATTTTTGATCTATATTTTCAGGTGTTGCCATGTTAACATTTTGCAGCTACTGGGTTTCTCAGTAGAAACTGGATTACACTGTCTGATATATCCATACCTGCCTAATGGATCACTACAAAACAAACTTCATTGTCAAGTGAGTAAATAATATGGATCCGTTATCTACCTGCCCTCTAAGGACATTGTGTGAAAGGCAATTTTATCTCCTTGAATTCTGAGAAACAATAAAAAGGTGGCCAAATATGTTGACTGTAAGTATAAGAAAGGTTGCAACTCTTTTTCAGTTCTTCTACTGCAAAGTAGATCAGGTCAACAAGAAGTTTCTGCTTTGCAGCCCTAGGATTTTTTAAATAATAAGAAATCTGCAAAATGTGTCTGTTGATATTGTAATATTTTACTGCCTTTGGGAATACGTAATTACTGTAGAATCCATCATCACATTCAGATGTGCCACAAGTCCTCATTGACAATACATTTTATGAAGTTTTACAAGGGCTTAAGAGAGAACAGTTTATGAGAACTTCACATCTATTGAAAGAGCATTTAGAGGAAATCATATGACAGAGAAACATCAGAAAAGCAATCCAACAGAAACGGTATTATGGCTCAATAATGGCCAACTATTGATGCTTTGGAGAAGCATGATCTCTGCTGTATCCTTACCTCACTGTATCCTATGCCAGGCGAAACGTCCAGTGCAGTACATAAGAAGAGGCTCCTTCCTGGGCCTTGAAATCATCAGCTTCCTGCCCTAGACCAAACTCCTGATTTAGGTCATCAGGAGTTTTCCTAGTGATTGCAGCGGGAATAAAACTAAGCCTTTGGCTTGCAAAACTACTAATGTCTTACAGTTTTTATTCTGTAAAAATAAAAATATTCTGTTGTCTTTCTCACTTTCTTGCAGGATGATTCTGCTCCACTGACCTGGGAGATGCGCATTAGCATTTCCACAGGACTAATCCGAGCTGTACAGTATCTACATAATTTTGGAATTCTTCATGGTAACATCAAAAGGTGAGGGGTTTGGCACTTCTTTGTCCGCCTGTTAATTCCAGGATTTCTTTAACGCTAACGGCTGAAAGCTTATATAATTCTGAAATCCATTTGCAGTATCTTCCTGCCTTCTGTTATCTCTTGTTCTGTAGGATGTTTACCCTCCATATGTTTCATTTGCCTCTCTTTTAAACATATGGTAATTTTTTGAGTGCTCTCTCTTCCCCCTCTCCCTTTCTCTCCACTTTATCCTTTCCTTCTTACACACCAGGCCAAATACTGGAAGTTGTGTCCCTTAGGGCTTGCCTTAACTGTAAAACTGTAATTCTTTACCTCAAGTTAAAGTAATTACTCAACCAGTATTGCTATTTGCCTTTCGTTATCATAGCTCAAATGTCTTGCTGGATGAAAACTTTACACCAAAGCTTGGACATTCAGGTCTGCGATTGTATTCTGTTGATAAGAAATCAGAGTATGCGATGATGAAAACCAAAGTCCTACAAACTTCTTTAACTTATCTGCCAGAAGATTTCATCAGGCATGGGCAGTTAACAGAAAAAGTTGATATATTTGGCTGTGGTGTGGTAAGTTGCCTTTTTTCCGTATTCTGTTGTGTCGTATGATGATTATAGACAGGAGAAAGGATATATGAACATCCTTTCATCCTCTCCATATACTCGTTTTGCCTGCAATTTCACATCATAGTTTCTGACTGTGTAACGTGTTGAAATTCTGTGTTTAATTATGTTCACCCTACAAATACACTCCAGTTTGTGGCAGAGTGAGGTGAATCTTTTGAGCAACAGAAGCAAAGTTCTTTCTGGTTGCAAAAAATTTTTTTCCTGTTGATAGTTTAGAAAAAACAGAGCAGCAGAAAGACTGCAATTAGTTTCTCAGAACTGTTGCATATGTGCCACATCAAATGCTAACAAACATCACCTGTTAATTTGGAACGTCAACTAGAATAATTGAATAAATAAGACAGTTTACTACATCACCTGTCTCAAAATTTCCAGTTTAAGAGGAAGTTACTGTCTTCAGTGTGGTTTCTTACCTAGATTTAGAATGGCTTTCTTCTCATCCCTTGGTTTCGTGTTCTCTCTTGTGTCTAACTACAAAATTTAGAGTTGGTTTCAGAGGTGGATCTAAACTGTCATGAAGATTGCCCAGATCTGGTATTATTTAGCCATGTGATGTAGGAAAATAACTTCAAAATGCTGCAGTAGTTCAAATTCCTTTAGTTACAAAATTCATTTTTAAAAGCAGAATTTATTCTAAACAAATTGTTTTATCTGTCAAATATATTTTCTAGGTCTTAGCAGAGATACTGACAGCTGTTAAGGCACTAGATGAAGGAAGACACCCTATTTATTTGGTAAGGAAAAGCAGAACTAATGAACACTAACCAGAGTGAATGGAGTTGTCATCATAAATTGAATTTGCATATTACATGAATACAGTTTTTTATTTGCAGTTTTCTTGTAGGTCCTAAAGAAGTGATGTTTAGAAGCCATATCCTAGCTCCGCTAACATCAGTAGTCTACCAGCCCTAAAATAGGAGCAGAATGTATATTCCCATTTCAAATATCAGACTCATCAATGCTGGCCCTAATTGTATAGGAGGGGCTCCAGAATCACTGGTGTGTAAATACATGTTTATTTAAGAAAAAAGACTTTGTGTTGAATTCTGCTGCATGTTTTTTACGTGCCAGGAAGATGTATGTTATGAGCCAGAGTGAATGAGGAAACCTGGGTAGGAGATAACTGCAGTTGCTCTTTATTATGTTTATCAGATATTTACATGTTACACCAGTGACTGGAATTTATAATCTGGCCGATTTGCCCAAGCTGTAATTGGAAATACACAAACTACTTTCACAAACAACAGGAACTGGCCGAGCTCAATGAATGCCACTAACACCATCTTAATGAAAACAGACTCCACCTATGGGATATACTCCTGGTTTGCCATTTTGTTGAAGCCTTGAGGGGAAAAGGACAGTATTCTCACTTACTATTTCCAAACATATCAGCAGTGTTCACATGGATTCAGAAAATAAAGGATCTGAAGCTTCTGATTTTTAACAAGCGTTTGCATAAGTCCCGTGCAAGAATGCCATTACATACAGTGTTGATTATTTTTTCTTTCTTTAAATGGGCAAATCTCAGGCAGAAGTGTGTAAGGCCCGCCTAGAGCAGCGGGTTCTGCTTTAGTGAATTTGACATTAGACTCATGCAGAGAAAACCTTTAGGCTTTTTTCCTCCTGTGAAAACAAACATTTCTGTCACTTGAACTAAGAGAGGTTCCTAAAGCTTTTAAGTCTGTAAACCAACCACTAAAGAGCAATATAACAAATATATAGGAAGACTCTTATCTTCTCAGTGATACAGATGTCAATAAATGTCTTTGTTAATTTTGTCGTCACTAATGTATCTCTTTCC